TTACAGTGATTTGGTGTTTTGAGTTGGGGTTTAGAAGGACAGTGAGTGTGTTGAGGACTTCTTTCGTTATTCTATAAGAGTCGGGATGGTAAGACTTTGAAAACCTTGTAGGTGTCATGTGTGTGTGCTCGGAGCTCGATTCAGGGTAATTGTTTAATAAGTATCAATAGATGGCGGGTTGACCAAGAGACTTAGTGTTTTGGTTGTACTAGTGCATTGAGTGATGGGTTGAATGTGGATTAAAAGGGGATGACTATATTGGTTACTGAGGGATGAAGGTGTTGCATTTATTTGTTGTTCGGTTTGGGTGGTTACGTAGTAGCGATGGTGTTGTAGAATGGTAAGTCTATGGGAGTTGACTTGGTGCGAGAGAATTAGTATATAAATTTCGTTATTATGAGTTCAGTCGAGGTTGTGAGTACATTCTCAGAATGAGGAGGTTTTGCTAATTTGGGGTGTGGTGGTGTGTGGTTCATTTGTTAATTGATGGGTAGAAGGTGATCAGTCACAGGGCAATCCCAGGAGAATGCCGTGGTAAGGCAATAGCGTGGTTAATGATTGGGTTGAGTAGTTGATATTAGATAGTGCTGGGTCACTTTGATATGGATATTTGTCTTCCAGTTTCGACAATAGAACTCCGAGTGAGGCAGTCAAATTGTGTAGGGTGAGTGATGCACTCTGTCAAAGTTGTTTTGACCTATTCGGTCCTTGTGTGCATGATGTAAGGTACCGGTGTGAGCATTGACTTGAGATGGTGTATCTTGTTTAATTAGAAAAGAGTTTGGTTAGGACTCAAATGTGAAGCGAGGATATGCGTGCCACACAAGCATACGTGTGAGGGGTGAATGGAAAATCAAAGTACCGTGAGTTAACTTCGAAGAATCCGGAGTGATATATTAGACCTGAGAGGTTGTGTATGGAACTCCATTTCGGAGTTGGTGAGGTTAGACAAAAGTTGGTGTTGTCACAAAGTGGGGTGTAGTTAAGTGGTATGTTGGTGTTCAGGAACTGGTACGAGTGTATAATGTTGGATAGTTGATGGGTTAATACTTGGGATTGGTTGACATTTAGTCACCTCGGAGATAATTCGAAATTGTGGGTCGTGTGTTTAAATGGTGTCTTGATGTGGGACGTAACTTCCACCTGATTAGTTGGAAGGTTATTTTGAGTTTTAGTAACAGGTTTGAATTTCGGTTGGGAACTTCGGCCTTAGGAACACTTTGCGCCTTTATGTGATTAGTGAGTGTAAAATTTCTCCCCTTGTTTGGTTGCGTTGTTGGCATTTCAAAATTTGTAGGGGTCCTCATCATGAAAATTTTGTTTTGGATATTGCGTCATCACCGTGAGTGTGATGGGTTTTGTTGGATGACTATGTGGTGATCCACTGGGGGGAATGTTGATGAATAATTTAGAGGAAGACCAAAAAGTGGGTACTCTTCATAAACTAAAACGGTTTTGGGTCGGAATGTGAAAATGCGATTTTTATCTTCGAAAAAGCTTTGCGGTGACCAGTTGTTAATATGGTGTTTAAATGGTAACGGTGTAAATCTAAACACCTTTTGGGGGAAAATTGAGTATTTTGAAACAAATGGGATGAATAAAGCACTTTTTTTAACCTGGACAAAATATCTTATGAGAAGTCAAATTTTTGATCTAACCTGAGTTGCGGGTTACATATTGTGTTTCTTTTGGCAAGGACTTGAAATTGTCAGGCATTTATGTGCCATAACTTTATGGATTATTCGTGCTTTATTTTGCGTTCTAGTTCTATGAAAGCTGACCGAAAGCCTTGTGTACGAGTGGTTCCGTGTTTCCTATGTTGGAGTGTTAAGCACTCAATATTGATTTGGGTATTGTTGGTAGTCGAGACGTGGTGGATGTCTCAGAACGCTGTAGTGATTGAAGTTGTTGTACTGTTATTAATGTTATCGAGTCTTGCGAGGTAGGACTTTTCCATTAATTAAGGTGTTGTGGAAAGCATGAATTGAAGTCCGTGAGAAATATCCGGACTTATTTGTTGATGTTTGAACATATATCGAGAATTTAGTTTGGTTAATGAAATGTAAAAACATTGTATATGTTTTAAAGTACGGAAACATTGTATATGTTAAATATGTTTTGGAAACACGGACTAATATGAACATTGTATATGATATGGATGTCTCGGGGACTTGGCTTCAGATAAGCATTACATATGTCTTGAAAATATGGAATATTATGTATGTTGTATCATTTTGATAACATAGTATGTGTTGTACAAATTTTGGGAACTTGAGTTGAGTATAAGCATTGTAAATGTTTTCGAAATATATGAATTGTGATTCACTGTTGAAACTTGTGTATCGAGTTAATGAGAAGAGGTGACCGGAGAATGAGTCATGTTAATTGAAATTGATAAGATTATCACAGTGGGAATAATTTGATTTATTTGGCATTTGTCTTAAAATTTTGGGGACGAAATTCTTTAAGGGGGGAAAGGTTATAGCAATCCAGGTTTTTTCCCGTCATTTATTGTATTCCGGACTCGGATTCCGTGGTTGTATGGTGTCGTTCATGTCTTGTTTCCTTCCTTTAATTCTTTGTATTTGAGTTTTGGGACGTGTTGGGTGAGTTTGGGATGGGTTGGTTGTGAATTGATACAAGTGGTTGTTGTCCAGATTTTGACCTCTTCACTCGAGCGAGCACTCTTGCGCTTGAGCATGCATCTGCGTCTCTGAAGGACCTGAAGGTTGGTATTCTTCGCTCGAGCGAGATTTTTTGCACTCGAGCGAGCCTCGTGTTATTTGTTCCTTCACTCGAGCGAAAACTCTTGCGCTCGAGCGTGCGTCTGCGTTGGTACAGACCTGAAGCTTTGCATTGTGCGCTCGAGCGATGGTTCTTGTTGTGTCTAGTCGCTCGAGCGACAACTCCTTTGCTCGAGCGAGCCCCGTATATATCAGTTCGCAGCAGCGTGATTTTTCATCACTTTTTGATTTCCTTTTCACTCCAAACCCTAATCCGGCTGCCCCTCTCTCTAAAACTCTCTCTCTCTCTCTACAAATACCCCTTGATCTAGAGTCTCTCTACCCTACTCCCTTTGTAAAAAAGATAGAGTATCGCGTGGGCTTCCTTTGGATCTGAAAAAGTTCAAGTTTGGAGCATCTTCAAGTTTCTCCTTCTTCTCCTTTGAGCTCCTCCATTTGAGGTAGGGATATTTTACACTTTGTTATGAATTTTGACCTAGTTATTTGTTGTTGTGAGAATATGGTGAGATTTGGGATGTTTGGAGAAAACTTAGGGTTTGGCTCAAATTTATGAAAGAGGGGTTTTTATGTGTTGTTGTATATTTGACTATGGGGTTGGAATATGAGGTGGTTTTGTGTTAAAATTGATGAATTTGATCTTTGGGTTAGTATTTGGAATAAAGGGGAAATTTGTCCTAATATGAGCTAAATGATTATTTGGTATAAATAGTGGGATTGGTGTGAGAAATATGAAACTGGGAAGTTGTGTGAATGAATGGTGTAATTAGATTTGTTAAATCACTAACCTATGGAAATTTGATAAATTATCTGTCTAAAAGATTATATATCTGCGTAGAAATACCTGTTTTGGGCTATCGGTGGAGAATATCCATGATTGTTGTAGAAACTGCATGTGGATTAGGTGAATTGAAACTTGTCGTTTAAATTTACCTCATTGAATTTGATGGTATGATTGAGATGTTGAATATGTGTCATAGATAGTCATTGTACATGACGATACTTTTAATACATTGCATATGTATCATTGTTTGGGAGAAAATAGGGGATAGACTCCATTTATAATTAAATTGGCCGAAGTGTCCAGGTGAAAGTCCCGAAATCTTGTGCATATATGGGTGCCGGTTCCCTCGGATGAAAATTTCGTAAAATGGCAAATCTTGAAATCATGTGCATATATGGGTGCTGGTTCTCTCGGATGAAAATTTCATAAAATGGCAAAATTGAAGTGTTTGAATAATAGTTGTATTAAATTGTAAATCACTGAGTTGTAGCCTCATTTTAGATTGTTTAGATAACAATGTACTTGTCTCATGAATTGGTTCGGAATTTACTGGATTAATATGAATTGAATAGAGGGAAATGAAATTGAGATATGGGTATTAGTATAAAATGAACATGGACAGAATGTGAGTTGGTTGTGAATGTGGAACATTTACTTGGCACTTATATCTTAGTTAAGCTTCATATATTGTGTTAGGCTATTTCTACTGGGTTTTGGCTCATCCTACTTGAGAAACCATTTTCAGGTACAGTTGACATGCTCCCTCCAAGAACGTAGCATAGGAGGACTTAAGAGCTGGAAGCTATATTTTGTTATTTTCGTGTTTAAATGTTCATTCAAGCCGAGGGCTTTATATGTATAGAGTTTATGACACTCTCTTTTGTTGTAACCAAGTATGTCTTGGAAAGATGTAAGCCCATAGGGCATTTGCTTATGTTAAACTCTTTTGTATTATTACTTCATGAAATGAAAGGATTATTTACACTCTGATTTATGTAACTGTTATTTATGCTGTTGTGGATCATGTCTATGATGTTATATTTGGGGGCGTTACAATTTTCATTAAATATTTCATAGATAAATGTACTATTTAAGTGTGTAGATATGTTTTTTATTTAATTTTTTAAAATGACCGAATCTTTTACGATTCACGATTCGATTCATGATTCAGTACAAGGACATTTTGATTCACGATTCGAATCCCGATTTGACAACTATGCATATAACATATAAATTTTAGTTTGAACTTACCATGTATCGTCATACTTCAAAGTAACTAGAATAATTAAATGCAATGATAAATTATGCTATAAATTGATATCATATTACTAGTTCATAAGAGGAAATGCAAGCATCTCTCTCTCTCTCTCTCTCTCTTCATAGTTCTCCCATTTTACTGCAATATCTAATGTGTTAATTGATGAATCTTTTGGATTTGGATAATTCAGCTTGTTAATAGTTGAATCTTTGTGTAGGTTTGTTCCGTCTAAGAGAATTCATTGTTCAAGTTACATGAGATCAGCAAGACGGATAGAAGGTCCTCCTGTACTGGCTGAGAGAACACCAAGCTCTCATTTATGGATGGTTGTATCCTACCCCAACTCAATTATTGTCTTCCATTCGTTTGTGCCAATTCTTATATTTAGAGAGGTTCTGATGTGACATCTAGTTTTTGATAGATGTACCTCAAATTCTATGCTTGCAGCCAACTGCTGCTTTACTAGGAGGGTTTGGAGGAGTGGCACTTTTTCTTTACTATAACGATGAGAAGAGGGCAATTTTGAAAGGTGTGCCTTAATGTTATGCTATGTTATTTTCTTTTTGTTTTTTGATTACAGTGTTGTTAGTTAATTGGCTCATATGGACTGGAAATGGGAACCTATGAAGTTTGCGGTTGAATATTTTGTTTTAGACTTATTATTATTATTTTCATTCTTTTTGTTTTTTAAAGTTCATTAAAGAAGTTTTATGATGTGATTCTTTTTATCATATATCTCAATCAGAGAAAGTCTCTTAGCAGATTATTTATGATGTAGTTTATTAATAAATCAGGATAGGGTGTTGGATTGCAGCAGAGGTCTTCATTTAATAGGTAGCTTAGAGCATCTCTAGTGGTCTGCCATTACCAAAATTTGGCAAAAGCTCAATTTTTAACCTCTCCAATGTTCTGTAATTTCTCTTGCCAAATTATAGCATTGTTAAACTTTGTGCAAAATTTGGCTGAAAGTTTGGCAATTGCCAAAAATTGGCAAGAGCTATATCTCTCTTATGATGGGGCTCACAAATAGTGCTTCTATTTGGCATTGTGAGAGAAAAATAGAAGAAATGACATTTCACCATTGGCACATCTATGTTACGTGGACTTTTCAAAATAGATTAGGTACTCTTTTCAGACACTTGACACTTGAATAAGTATGGAATGTCTTATTCTTCCCATCCGACATGCTCTTAGCAAGCATATCCATCATCAATTTCGTTCTAGAATTGTTTCGTAATTGCTATAAAATGAGTAAACGGCATTTTTTTGACACGTTCTGTTACATAAGACCAAGTTAGGAAGGTATGTGGTATTACTATTGTGCATAGATGCTTTTGATATAGCAATGGACACATAATATTCATTATGGAATTGTTCAATAGGGTACACTGTATATACTACATTGTGATACTGTATTTTATCGCATTCAAATTTGTGTGTTCTTTTGCTAATATATTAAATCTATTGGGTTATCTGAGTTCTTATTTATTTCTTTATTTTTGGTATCACCTTGTTGGTTAGTCTGCAACCTAGAAATTGCTCTAAGATTGATGCTTTTGTGGGTTGGAAAGGGATATCTAAAACAGCTTTCTTTTTAAGAACTCTAAGCAGCAGCCGCCTGCTCCGAACTTCTACCTTTTGCACTTTGAGAGTGGTGGGACCCTCATTAAGACTGCGAGTGCAATTTTGTATTTCTATTAGAAGCTGTATACCTCAGCATTAACAAACCTGATATGATGGTGATGTCAACAGCTTTGCTAATGCAGGACTGAACTTGCTTTGTCCTGTCACTCTTTTTGATATGCCTCTCAGGGTGCTCAGAACTCTGCTTTGAGCTGATTGGGAATAGTTTTCTTGCTTGCTTAGTTCCATGCCTGACCTTGTTTTCTCACCTTTTTCTGTTTGTGGCACACATTTTAATCTCAATATCAGAGCTATGTTACAGGGCTCGGGTATTGGATGTGTGAGTGTTTGTCAAAGTGTCAGATCTTCGCAAAACTAAATATTCAAATATTAGGACATGTATTTAACAGTTGGGTATGAGTATGTCGACACATTTAGAATATTTAGATATATTGCATACTTCATGCTAATTTGGCATATGATGTAAACTATTCAGAATGTACTAGAAATTATGTGGGATTGAAGGAAAAAATGGGATTTCTCTTTGTCATCCATGTCAGATGTTGAAAAGTTTTCTTTGCTACTAAATTTTAGTTTCTTCTTCTTCAAAAGGTTAATTACACTTTACCTCCTTCAACTATAACTAAATATCATCTTATTTCTCTTGGCTTTAAAACTGTATATTTAGACCCTTTAATTTATTTTTATTTTTTTTAAAAAGAAAAAGAAAAAAAAATGGAAAAAAGAAAAAAGAAGATAAGATTGTTATATCACTTACCTTTTGAGGGGATGAAAGTGAAGCAATTTTGACAGTTGAGAGCTCTAAATATTATGGTTTTAAAGTTAATGGGGTAAGATGATATTTAGTGATAGTAAGGGGGGAAAAGTGTAATTGACCCTTTTTCAAACATTGTAAACTTTAGAAGATCCAAGCATCTACTTTGGGTATAAGTGTCAGACACATATCCCATGTCCTTACACTTGTTATCTGGTGGAGGACACAGGTACACTAAGAGAAACGGAAGAGTCCATGTAACACTGCATCAAAGTGAAGTTAAATATCCAAAGAGAAATATTTACTTGTTTGCAATATGCACTAATGTTTTTTTTTAATTAACGTTTGAACTAACGCGTAGGTAATTTCTGAACTTCTTTGTGTTGGATTGTATCAGGCCAAGGTCAGAACATCGACAGATGTACCATCAAGGGGCCTATAATTGGTGGCCCTTTCACTCTGATAGATACAGAGGGACGGTCACAGGTACACTAATGCTGTGTTTGGTTGGGGGATTTGGGAAGGGATTTGAAAAGGGAAATGGAAAAGGTAGGTGAAATGTGAATAAATCATGCCTATATTTGACATAGTTTCACACACATTTTCCCTTTCCCTTTCCAAATCCCTCCTCAAATCTATCAACCAAACACAGCATAAGAGAAACGGAAGAGTCCATGTAACACTGCATCAAAGTGAAGTTAAATATCCAAAGAGAAATATTTACTTGTTTGCGATATGCACTAATGTTTTTTTTTAATTAACGTTTGAACTAACGCGTAGGTAATTTCTGAACTTCTTTGTGTTGGATTGTATCAGGCCAAGGTCAGAACATCGACAGATGTACCATCAAGGGGCCTATAATTGGTGGCCCTTTCACTCTGATAGATACAGAGGGACGGTTAGTTACTGAACGCAACCTTCTGGGAAACTCCATTCTTCTCTACTTTGGTTACACTTCGTCTCCAGATGTTGGCCCAGCAGAAGTCCAAAAAATGGCCAAGGCTATTGATATATTAGGTTTAACCCTCTTTCTTTTACTTTCTTTTCTTTTTTCTTTTTACTTGATTTTATATCAAACTATTATTCTCCTAGTATGACTGTTGATTTCTAGTATTTTAATTGGAGCAAGAATCAAAACAAAACCTTAAGGTTCTACCTGTATTCGTTACGATTGATCCTCAGCGTGATACTCCTTCGCAACTCCGTGCTTATCTTAGAGGTCAGTTTTCATTAACCTCATATTCTGTGTACTAATGTGTTTGTCCCTATTTCAATTATTGTTTTGCTAAATTTTCACGTTCATGGGATGCAGAGTTCGACTCGAGAATAATGGGACTAACTGGATCAGTTCCTGCGATAAGACAGATGGCACAGGAATACCGTGTGTACTTCAAGAAGGTTGAAGAGGATGGGGATGATTACCTTGTTGAGTCTTCCCATAACATGTATGATCCAAGCCTTTTTTATTTTTCATTTATGTTGTTGTTTGAGATCAATTGCAATAAACTTTAATTAAAATATCAAAATAAACAGGTATTTGACGAACCCAAACATGGAAGTAGTGAGATGCTTTGGGGTAGAATACAGTGCCGAGGAACTGTCTGAAGCAATACTCAAGGAGTTGACAAAGCCAGAACACAATAGGTTGACACCCGTATTATGTTCATCTTCTTCGACTGGGTAAGAGATATGCATCATATTTGAGATGTCGATCTGAAAATTTTCCCTCATTACATTTTTTATTATTATTAAATCCCTCATTAGATTGTTGAAATGCTAATTAATGGTTATTAAGAGGAACTTGCACATGTTACACAATCAGAGAGTGGTTTTACTACTTGTGTTTGGATGTATGAGGCCTGCAGAGCTAGCAAATCAATATTTTATTGATCTTTTTTGTTCTTTTGTTTCAAACTACTGTACAGTCAGTTTGAGGAGGAGAGAGAGAGAGATCTGTGTCGCACTTGAGTACTTTGAAGTAGGTTATGTTTCCAGCCATGTTACGAATACAAAAACTAAATACAGAAATGAAAAACATATTATATATATCATTGGAAAAAAATTGTTAAGATTTATGAGTGGATTTACTTTCGAAAATTCTTGTTAGTTTTAAGATTGATCGTGTTCTTAGATTTATTGTTATGCAATAGGTTTGTCATGAGTTGGATTTAAGTTAAACTCTTGTGTATGGACTCAATATCAAAGTGGAATACCCTTGAACTTACCTGCATTGTTTTTTAGTGGTGCAAAACAAATGGGCACCAGTTGTGTAGAACACCTTTAATGTAGAACGTGTGTGATTGTATGATGAAGGGGCTATTTAATTTGCAGTGACCTCCTTCCCACGTCTTTTGTTTTTTTTTGACAACTGGTTTTTAATGTTGGAAAAGAAAATTGTAGAGCATGACAACATCATACAACAGGTCGGGTTTTTTGAGGTCTCGTGGATGAATTCTTGATTTTAAGCTTAATTATTTTAGTAATACAACTTCATACTTTATCCTAACCCTCTACTTATCTCTATACTCGACCCTGCTTTTTCATTAGATTTGGGTTGAGTCAAATACAAGCGAGTGGGCGTAATTTTCCCATCATTCAACATCAAGACCATCCCTTGTTCTTACACCATATGCTATATATCATATAAATATTTCATCAAATTTTGTTTTTACTTCTCATATGGCATGATAGGTTTCACTATTTCTAATTATGAGGCAATGGGACAGGGAGGGTTTGTAGTGTTTTGCCTCTGCCCTATATTATATTGGGGATATGGTAATTTTGTAACTTTAGGGATGTCTATTAATAAAATTGAGAGGGTGATTCTATTTACACCATAGATACAACTCGTGACCTTTCTAATTGCACCAAACTAAAAAAAAAAAATGATTTATTTCATTTTATTTTATTTACACCCTTCAATATCCAATTCTTATTTATAACTTTTAACATTTGGAAATTGACTATTTTAGTAATTTTTTAATTATTTACGAAAAGACATGTAAAAAAATAAAATGATGTAACATGTATTGACTTTTTAACTTTTTAGCTAAAATTGTTAGTTGCCAAACGAGGCATACTCGCTTCTTCCTCTTTCATTTTCTTCTCTTTTTATCTCTCTTCGTAGTGAAGGTTCAGTGACGGTTTTGATGGCAATTGGAGTGACTTACCTTTCTCCATCTTTTCTTACTTTTCCAAATCTATGATATCAAAGGATGTAAGCTAGGGTTTGTAGAGGTGAGGAGAGGAGTAGAGGGAAGGAGAGGCAATTGGGGCGTTGGAAATGAAAGCTAGGGTTGAGGGAAGGAATGTAAAGGGAAGAGGGATTTGAGAAGGGGGTTAAGGTTTTGAGGGTGATAAATGTGATTGCAAGTGAGGAAGGAGGTGAGAGAGGCGAGACAGAGGTGGTTAGTGGGTAGTGAGAGAATGGAGTGGGAGAGGTCATGGGCAGGAATGGTGGGGTTGGTAGGCGGGAAAATGGAAGAGGGACTGAGGTGGGTGAGTGGAAAGTGGAGAAAGGAATTGAGGGTGACATGGGGAGACAACAACAATAATAAGGAAGTGGTAGGTAGTGAGTGGAGTAAGTGCTTTCCCAAGAGTTGCTGTTGGGTTGCAGTAGGTAGGAGGTGACAAAGGAGACGAAACAAAGATGGGTAGCGATTAGTGAGAGGAGAGAGTGGAAAAGGAAAGGTTGGTCGTGGGAAGGAAGGGCAGGATGGGTGGTCATGAAGGGAAATGATGGGTTGAGGTGGGTAGGGAAAGGGATTGAGAGTGACTTGGAGAGACAACTAGGTGGTGGATGGTGGTGAGTAAGGTAGGCGCTTCGCAAGAGCTGGTTCTAGGTTATACTAGGTGGTGGGAGTACATGGAAAAATTATTTGGTGCTCCTGGAGGGTTATGTGGTGGTATTTTTCACTAATCACAAATCCCCATACCTTCTCATAATCTTCAATCACTTAACATAAAATCACGAGTCTTACATTTTTCACCAATCACAACATCCTTAGGGTACCACCTAGCGGTGCCTTAGTACCAACCAATAACTTATTGAGTAAATGAGTTACTAGAAAAATTAGGGTATCAAAATTTTAAGGTTTGAGTTCTTTAGGTAAGTGTATGTAATAATAAAATTGTAATAAAAGTAAAGGGTGTAATAAGGTAATTTTGTGGTGTAATAAAAGCACCTAATGAGAAATGTTATAATATATTAATGATAATGTTTCACAAGGGAGGACAGTTAAAACATGTAGAGTGACAAATAAAGAAGTTGAATGTATCTCTAGTAATGGGAGAAACAATGGTAAAATGGAGTAAGGGGAAATTGGGTTTGTTTGGTTTGAACTCAATGTATAATTTTTGGGAAATTTTTTTAAAATTTTATTTGGCTCAAATTTTTTGATTTTTTTTTTCAAAATCATTTTTTATCTCCTACATATCAATCAATCATTTTTTTCCTCTTTTCTCTCTCCTCAATAACTTTCTTTTTTCATACACATTTACTCAACTACGACAAAATATCAAATTATCCAAAACTCTCAAACTCCAAAATTATTTTCAAAATATAAAACCAAACAAACTAAAAAAATTTCTAAACTCTCTCCCTAATTTTTTTTTTAAAAAATTTATCTCAAAACACAAGCCAAATACATTGATGAATCACATGTACATATAATATTTATATGAGTAATGTTAGAGACCCCAAATATTCTACCAAAAGTTGTCCCACACCCATGTGAGACATTTGGTAAAACTTTTGGTAGAATATTTGGGGTCTCTAGCATTTTTGTATTTGTATATGAATTCATATACGATGTAAAGTAAATAAGTGAACAACAATGTTAGGTGGCTCGAAAAATCATGGCTCGAATAGCTCGAAACACCCGAACGACATCGTTTTGACACATTTGAGCCATTCGAATCACAAAAATTTGGGCCACCAATCATTTTCCATAAGTGAAATAAGTTGGGTGATGAAACACTATTCTTCTGAAATTATAAAATATGGGAACATTTACCTAGAAGTCCCATTCCATAAAAGTATATATTGGAAAGTTTCATAATTTTTTTTTATCATAAATTATTAAGTTTCATTGAATTTAAAAAGATACATCGTAAGACTCTTTCACTATATTTTTTAGAGATTTTAAATGTGAATAGATTTTATTTGCGCACTATTATCTTATTAAATTTTTGTTAAATGTACCATTCTTAAAATGTAACAGTGTGACATCATTCTAATGTGTGTACTATTCTTTTATTAAATTTTTGTCAAATGCGTCATTATTTTTAAAATGTAACAATGAGATATTTTTACGTTTGTCTTATTAAACTTTTGTCAAATATATGATTTTTAAAATGTGACAATGTGACATCATTCTAATGTGTGCACTATTGTCTTATTAAATTTTTGTTAATTGTGTTATTATTTTTAAAATGTAACAATGAGACATTTGTGTAATATTGTCTTATTAAAATTTTGTCAAATATAATATATGCATTATTGTTTTATCACATTTTCTAATGTGAGTATATTTTATTCGAGAGATTTTAATTTGATATACGATTAATAAGTTTATAAGAATATTTATGAGACTATATGGTTTATTGGATATGAATTTAGGATTTATTAGTAAATGTCCCAAAAATATAAAGGAAGAAGAGATACATTACAATTATTTGTTAGTTAACTATTTTTTATTCATATTATTGTGTGGAATTTATTGTTTGTTTGGTTAACAAATAATTCTTTTTATTATGATAATGTTGGTTTTTTTGGCTTTTGAAGGTTATTTTTGTAATTGTGAGCGTGCCAACAATGATCAATCAGTCCTTACAGAATGTCAATTGCCAATCAATTATCAGACGATTGTGTTTTAGTTCTTTCAGCCTCAATGAGGACGACTTTTACTGGTGGCTTTGTTTAGGAGAATTAAGCAAACAATGATTAAATGAAGAACAGATGTAGCATTTCATTAAGTAAAAATGAAAGACTTACAAGGATCCAATTCAGCCTCGTACAGGTTTACAGCAACAATCTACTTGAAACTACTCCTATGAACGAAGTGCAGTGCAGGAACTTTAAAGTACAGAAATGTAAAGAACAGGAAATGTAAAAACTGGAAAGGAAATAAAGTTGATAAAATTAGTTTTCTGGATCTGAGTCTGAGGTTTTTTCTGGAGCCTTCTCTGCTATTTATACTTCTCAAGGATGACCATCGAACTGCACTTCTAACCGTCAAATCGCTCGTCCATGATCGCTGATCATGTTGCCTTATAGTTAGCTCCACCGTGTCATTACCTGCAGTTAGGCTTCCTTCCTGATTTTGAATTTAAATGTGAGTAACCGTTGAAGCCACATCACTTTGCATCTCATTGCTGATCCAGTGCTACGCAGATCTTGTAAGAACCAATACTAACTGCTACGTATACGATCACGATCGAAGACTTGAATAGTCTTCCCTTATTGCCTTTATTCTACTATACATTGAATTGTAATTGGTTTATACAAAATATGTAACCAACATTACCCCCCGCACTAATATACCAAATACATGGTGATATTAGTGGATCAAGGTCTTTTATCCACATCTTAGAACGTGCATGGGCTTTGCATTCTTCTAGAAATGTAACCGTCATTCATCATTTGCATTAAATTCTCTTTTAATTTTTTGAATATCCCCACCACTTTAGTATTCGAACAGACTGATACATCTTTTATGGCCAAACCAATTCTCTCTTCTATTGATCGAGTATACGAAGAGTCATCTGATGATGCTGTTCTTCCTCGAAAGAACCTTTATGCATTGATTAGCCACCTTTACCCACCTCCCTATATTCAAGTCATGAAAGCTTTTGCAAACTATCAACCTTTGGATTACGCACCCGCTACTCATAATTCTCT